ATTATGCTATCTGCTGAAGCGGGCTTACTTGCTGTATTCCCAAGTTCAAAAGCAATGATTAAAAATAGCATTTGAAAAAAAATAGCATTTGGTGTCTAAAGTTACAATGTAACTAATAAACTGCACTTCAGTCACAAGTTCTTATATAGACAACACATCTTTTGATTAAATCAGAGAGAGTGTCAAGGACACAGAGAAAGCTTTGTTTTGTTCTGGGTTTTGTTTTTGTGATAGTTTATCTCTTCCATGCCAGAAAAAGAGCTTTGTATTCTCAGATGAACTACTACAAGAGTTCAATGCCAAAGACAGATGTGCTTTGTAGTGGAGCATAGACACATTGGATGTTACGCAGCTGACAAGCATTTAAAGAGCTCTTACAGCATTACAGTCATTCACCTTATCATAATCCAGTTTGTGAGTATTTACACTGAAAATCATGTTGAGACTCGGGAGAAATGAGGGAGCAAGAGAAGACCCAGGAAAAAGTAGAAATTAGATGTTAGCAGAGTGCCTTACTTATTCATATCAATCACAGCTCCAGCTTAAATTGGCTGCCTTTCCAGATGTTTTCAGTGACCACTCAATAATAGGCTACAAAAAAATCTTGCACTTCAGCTGCCAAGATGGCATAGTGATTAACAGTGTTCATCTCCAGGGTTTTCACCCCAAGTTCAATTCCAAGAACCCATATGATAGAGGAAAAGAACTGACTTCTACAACTTTTCCTCTGACATTTTTGACACATGTACATATCCAAGTATAAACATCTATAAAAAGACATCTGTTCACTATATCCCAAGGAATGTTTGGAGAAAGGAGGCAATGAGTAAGATTTGTTTTCTATTTTAAACATGTATGTGATTTACTCGCATAATAAGCAGTTTCTCAGCACCTGTTATGGTTGAGAGAAAATGAGCATTAGCCATTGAGTACAATACTAAACCTGAATTATGTGCTATGACTTGCTTTCCTTGGGAGATTAGTGATTGGGATTACACAGCACACTGCACATAAGCTCTTAGTGCTAAGCCTGGTATATGGAAAAGCAACATAAGAATTAACTCTTTGGTCGATGATACGGAACACAGTAGGGACAGTATGGTGATCCTTCCAGCTCCCAAGAGGAAGACGCAAGAGCAAACAGTCCAATCTTCACTTCCTTAAAGTTTTATTCCTAAATAATGTCAAATCTGCTGGTGGCTTGAAATCACAACAAAAAAAATAGTTTTAAAGGATCACTAGACCACACAGGAAATTTTATTTATCTATTTCTTTGATAGGTACCAAGTTTGGAGATATCAGGAAAGACCAATATCATTGCAACAGAGTTGAGCAGATCCATGAGGATTTAGATGTCTAACACAAAAACTGCAGATGGCCCCCAGTGGTGATGAATACACAAATACAATGTAGCAGAGAGAGAGAGAGAGAGAGAGAGAGAGAGAGAGAGAGAAACACATTCACAAAACAGGCAGAGCTAGTAATATTTGTAAACGGTGTGGAGTTCAGGAACAATGTTGTTTTTTTTATTTTTTTTTTCTTCACAGTTTATTCATTATATATCCAGATTGAAGCCCCTCCCTCAACTCCTCCCAGTCCCTCTTTCTTTCCCTCTTACCCCCATCCTAGTCCACTGAAAGGGGGAGTTCTCTGCCATTTACCCATAGCTTGTAAAGTTTCATCAGGACTGCCTGGATCCTCTTCCTCCATGACCAGGCAAGACCGCAGAAAGGAGCAAGTGATCAAAGAGCAGTCATTGAGTTCATGATAGAGGCAGCCCTTGCCCCACACACTCAAGAGATCCACATGGACCCTGAGCTGCCAATCGGCCACATCTGAGCAGGGGGTCTAGGTCCTCTCCAGGCATGGTTCTCCTTTGGTGCATCAGTCTCTGCAGAACCCCCAGGGCTCAGGACTTTTAGCTTTGTTGGTCTTCTTGTGGGGCTCCTGTCCCCTCCATGTCCCTCTATAGGAACAATGATTTTGGTGCTGTAATACACGACAGGTGCAGATTCCTGGACTCACTACTAAAATACTAGGTGCTTTGACTGTTTTTATGTGGTATTTACAGTCCCGTATCTCACACCCTTTTGGTAACTAATAGCCCAAATTCTAATGGCAAGCAGGAGGCACAATTATAATTTGAGCTCTGCCTGACCCTAAATCCTCCTTAGGGAGATGTGAGAGACTGCAGAAATGTCATCACTGTCAGGGACACTAAAGATTTGGGACAAAATTGAGAGTAGGCACTTATTTCTGGCCACACAATGTACCTCACCGTTAAGTAGGTGAGAAATGGAGGCTGATGTACACTAGAAAGATGAAAAGCACTGAGAGTTCTAGGACTTCTGTTTAAAACAGCTCAATGTTTATATACTTGAAACTACACTTGACATTGAAGTGTGGGTGACAGTTGTAAAATCGGCCAAGGGCGGCTCCCTAGCCACATGCCTCTGTTTCTGCCTTACAATTAGCAGGAGCTCAAATTTGGCTTAGCTGTTTGACATTTCATTTTTGATCTACAAAATGACCCCATTGCAGCTAAAAGTAGCACATTCCTATTTTAATTTTTTACAGCTTATCAAGCCAGGATGACAGTGACCAAATGGTTCTTTTACTTACACCCATGGTTCTTAAAAGATGTTGAATATCACAATCTCTTTTTAGTTAAAAGCTTTAAAATAGTTGCTTTTACCAGAACGCTCATGAATTACTGAGTGTAAAATGTAAACTCTCTTTACAAGTAAAATTAGCTGATTGTCCAAAAGTTAGTCACATTCTAAGATCCAGGAAAACCATTTCTAAATATTTCCACCAAAGAAACAACTCTATAGACACAAAATAACATAAATATTTATTTTGAATAACTTTTAGCTAGAAGCAACTTAAATAACAATGAATAGCACAATGGTTAAACAAATATGATATAGTTCTATTCTCATTAGTATATATCTACATAAATAAACAGATCTCTAGTATACATACAGCTCAAAAATGTGTTGGTAAATCAATAAGGGCAGACATACAGAACAGTTTGATTCTATTTAAATAAAGTCCTAGGATAGGATATACTCATTGGTGATGGAATAAATAAGAATGTGGAGTGAGAAGAAAGAAAGTGTATTGACCAAGAAAGGTCACGGGAGAAATTTTGAAGAATATGGAACATTTTAAGTTATAAAGGTTTTAATGCATGTTTTTGCATTTGTTACGTCTCATCCAGCTTATGATATGTGTTTTGTGATGCTGGCATAGTATAAAAGTTTTAAATGCTGAGCATAAAATTCCTGTGAAATTATGAGCTTTAAAATGCCGATGCTCAAGATACATTTGTAATAAACTCTGAACATAGCAAATGATTTGTTTTATTGTTAATGGATTTTTAAGTTAATTTTGTTTTCTGACAGTTTCCTACAGACAAATACAATACATCCTGCTCATTCTTTCCTCTATATCCTCTTCTTACATGCTTCCTCATTGCTACCACTCCCTTTCCAGATTCACGACTTTTCTTTTTATTTGGGAGCCCATCGGCGTGAATATTGGATTGGAACTTTCCATAAGAACCACACAACAGAAGACAATGACTCTCCCTCTTCTGGAAACTATCCACACCCAATAGATCAGCACTATTTGATAGGTACCCTCAGCCCTTCCATCATTCATAGCCAAACTTTGGGCAGAGTGCAGGGAATCTTATGAAAGGAGGAGGAGATAAAAAGATCTGGATGTGACAGGAGCTCCACAAGGAGACCAACAGAACCAAGAAATCTAGGCCCAGGGGTCTTTTCTGAGACTGATACTCCAGCTAAGGACCATGCATGGTGATAACCTAGAACCCCTACAACTTCTGCAGAGATAAAGCCCATAGCAGCTCAGTCTCCAAGTGAGTTAACTAGTAATGAGAATGGGGACTGTCTCTGACATGAACTCAGTGGCTGGCTCTTTGGTCACCTCCCCCTGAAGGGGAAGCAGCCTTAGCAGGCCACAGAAGAAGACAATGAAGCTACTCCTGATGAGACCTGATTGGCTAGGGTCAGAGGGAAGGGAAGGAATACCTCCCCTATGAGTCAACTTGGAGAGGAGCATGGGAGGAGATGAGGGAGGGAAAGGTGAGATTGAGAGGGGACAACCGACCGAGGGGGCTACAGCAAGGATACAAAGTAAATAAATTGTAATTTACAAAAAAATACATAAATTTTAAAAATTAGATCTCAGTGTTTATAGTAAACAAACAGCACTTGGAGTTATCAGCAATGAGATATTTGCTTCTTCACAGACACACTTATATTCACATAAACTCAAAACAGAAACATTTAAAAATATTAATAGCCTTTTTAAACTAAATTATTAATTTTTCAGGTAACAATCTTTGAATTTTTTTTAGACTAGGCACCTCCTCTTCTGTTAAGGCTAGACAAGGTAATGCAGTAAGGGAAAAGAATCTCAAAAAGCAGACAACAGAGTCAGAGACAGACCCTGTTCCAGCTGTTAGGTGTCCCACAAGAAGACTGAGCTGCACATCTGTTACATGTGCAGAGGGCCTAGAACAGTCCCATATAAGCTCTCTGGTTGCAGTTCATTCTCTATGAGCCCCTGTGAGCCCAGGTTAGTTGATTCTGTGGGTTTTCTTGTGGTGTCCTTGACCCCTCCGGCTCCTACAATTCTTCCTGCCCTTCTTCTGCAGGATTCCACAAGCTCTTCCTAATTGTTTGGCTTTGAGTCTCTGCATCTGTTTCCATCAGGTCCCTCTGTGATGCCAATCAGTTACAATGAAATGATTCCTAATGACATTCTACTATGTACATAGATTGGATTAACTCTTAAGGGAAGAGTATTAGAGCAGAATATCTTGTTTTCCCCTTGACCTGAGGTATATCCCTATTTTACTATTTTGACCATTAAGGAGTAACTTTCCCTTAATGCTTCTCAATGAAGCCATAGTATGTCACCTTTTCATGGTTTTGTTTGTTTGTTTTTACTCTTATATTTTTCAATGGTTCTGTTTATAGTATCATACCTGGCCATCAAACTCCTGCCAGAATCTTCATACTCGTTTACTGTAAATTCTAACCTTAGGGAATGTTCCCATAGGAATTTACTTTAAGTTAAGGGCTGTACAATACGAGATTCACCTACCTGTGGTAGCTTCAACCACACAGAAGCCTTTCCCAGGAGTTTATACCGTGTTTCAAATCCTGAGGTGGGATGGTTGAGGTATTTTTCTTTCTAATGTTTAGAGGGAAATGGGAGGTAGGACCAAGTCTTATAATGGCTTCTCTCCTCCCAAGGAGGTGATATTTTTAAGTCATCTAGAACATGGGTTGAAATTAGGGAAGGAACTGTTCAGGGTCTCTACTTTTGGTGAATTCCAGGCAGTGATGGAGATCCCAGACAAATGAGGTTATGATGCCACAGGCTCATGTGAATGCAGCTTTGTAGTAAATGAGAGAAGATATAGTTAAATTAGCAGTTGAATAAACAAGGTCCAAAGATCAGTACGATCAGAATTAAGATTATAGTAGATATAACAAATTTTCACCAGGAAAATATTGATCTCTTGTTTCAAACCTGTTCACTAAAAGGGATTGTTGTCTCTGTAGTGGCTTTTCAGTCACACTCTCAGGTATAGCTTTCCGGAAACTGTGTAAAGAAGAGAAAAATAATACAAGAGACCAGACAAGACACTAGAGCATCCAAACCACCCTAGAATTTCTGGCCCCCTGATAGAGTCAAGGATATTTATGCCTTCTGGCCAATTTTTATCACCTGTTTTCTTGAACATTACTGTAGCATTTGAGACCATGCACATACTCTTTTCACCTTTCAAAATTCCTCAGACCATATTTCAGCCAAACATGCTGTAGAAAATAACACACATACACACACACACACACACACACACACACACACACACACACACACACACACATATATATATATATATATATATATATATATATATATATATATATATACATATATTATCCAGAATGAGCAAATAAAATAAACTTCTTTGTTTCCAGTCACTTGAAATATTCTTCATCTTGCTGAGTGGGTTGAGGGAGGCTGTTGGGTACCCAGGAACAGAGGAGTCAGATGATATTTAAGAGCCTATTTTGGGCAGAGAAAGTTCTTGCAGCTCCACTGGTAGTTTGTGAACAGTAAAAACACAGGAAAATGCACAATTCTTTCCAGCAAAATCATGTCAAAAGCAAGTGATTCAGAACCTAGACACAGAAAGGCAACTAAAAAGGAAGTGTTTTCATAACCCTTCCAAAAATTCTGACAACGCCTGGCTGTATTGATATTTCAAGGCTGTGTTAACAATACATAGAACAATTACAACATCCAGTGTTGTCCGGTTTTACAAAGCCTGCCCATCTTCCTGAATGAATCTGAATCCTAAACTGAAACTGTACTTTGAACAGTAGTTTAAATTGCTGTAGAAAAGAATCACTTCCAGATTCAAATTAGCACAGGAAAGTTTCTTATACGTTCATAGGCACAGCATATAGCAGTAAGCAGGATATGAGAAGTAGACTGTTGACCCATGAAATCTCCTAAACAGGACAGTTGCTATAATGATTGGTGAACCAGTCTCCATACAAATAAGGATGGCAATTGTGAGATGTAATGTTGATGACATTGTACAGTTGAAGGAAAACCTTCTACACGCCAAACCAGATTCCTTATCTTTTCCACGATGATGCTGGGAATCAGTATAAAATGTCACAAGATGCTTGAAATGCAACAACACTGTAAATTCATCTCCTGTGTTGGAATTTTAAAAAATTGTCTTTGGATTTTACTGGGTAAATTCCGTTGTTTTAATTGTGGTGTTTACATTTAGATTGCAAACTATTTGAAAAGACCTAATGACATTTCAGTACTCCCTATGATTTCAACAATTTCTTGACATTTTTAAATTACTAATTGAGAGATGGATCAAAGTACAGTGTGCATTTATTTTAGTATCTTATTGAGGAAATTCATCATTGTCCTATTGTAACAGATTAAAACATTGACACAAAATAAATTATGAATTGTTATATAGCCCAGACTCAGCAAATATTCCAAATCCTTTCAAAGAATAAAGAGAATAGTTTAAAATCATTCAGCTCAAAACTACTATATTCAAGCTTGGAAAAGTGAATTACTAATATTTATTTGAAACAGGGATTGCTGAAAAATCAACCCTCTATAGCTACAGTACTAGGTTTGCCTTTGTATATACAAATATCAATAATTATTTTCACTACATGGACCATACATCAGAACAAACTATAAAACATGAAAGAGTATGTATTTTGAGAGTGGTGATACAGCACTAAAAATCCCAGTACTCAGGAACCTGAGAGAAGAGACTCTAATGTCCAAGGCTAGCCTGGGCTATAAAGTATTCTTTGGATCATTCTAAATTATACTATGTGATTTTTTATAGATATTTTATAGGAGGAAATATTATGTTAGACATAAAGTTATGTTAGACATAGATTCAAAACTTTGTATCTAACTGAATCAGTTTCTACTTTTTTATTTTCATTTTTTATATTAATTACAGTTTATTCACCTTTTAACCCAGCTGTAGCCCGCTCCCTCATTCCCTCGCAATCCCACCCTCCTTCTCTCATCTCCTCCTGTGCCCCTCTCAAAGTCCACTGATAGGGCAGGTCCTCCTCCCCTTCCATCTGACCCTAGCCTATCAGGTCTCATCAGGACTGGCTGCATTGTCTTTCTCTGTGGCCTGGTAAGGCTGCTCCCCCCTCAGGAGAAGGTGATTAAAGATCCAACCACTGAGTTCATGTCAGAGACAGTCCCTGTTCCCCTTTCTAGGGAACCCATTTAGATACTGGGCTTGGGATACATCTGTGTAGGGCTTCTAGTTTATCTCCATGTATGGTCTTTGGTTGGAGTATCAGTCTCTGAAAAGACTCTTGTGCCCAGATTTCTTGGTTCTGTTGCTTTCCTTGTGGAGCTCCTGTCCCCTCCAGGTCTTTCTTTCTCCCCTTTTTTTCTTAAGATTCCCTGCACTATGCCCAAAGTTTGGCTATGAGCCTCATTTAAAATGAATGATTTATATCTTATGTATACAGTGTTTTGTCTGAATATATGCCTGCATGCCAGAAGATGGCACCAGGTATCATGATAGATGGTTGTGAGCCACTATGTGATTGCTGAAAATTGAACTCAGGACCTTTGGAAGAGGAGACAGTGCTCTTAATGTCTCAGCCATCTCTCTAGCCCTCTACATCTTATTTTTAAAGGCCATTAACTCTGCTGAAACTAGTATTTCCCTCAAACTGGTTTCTCTAGATATTTGTGTTTCTAGAATCTGCTACACCTAGAAACTTAAAGTCCTTTACCTTTGTGGGTTTTGTTTGTTTGTTTGATTTTAACTCTCTCTTGTTACCCATTTCTGAATGCATGCACTTTTGTTTTTCTCTTGTTAGTCTGATTTACAGAATCCCAGTCAGAATCCATAGAATATGCAAGCACATTTCCCCTCCTCTAGAGAAGCCATTGCAAAGCAAGAGACATCGGCTTTATTCATAAATTTCTTTTATGTCTTCATATAGAATTATTCAGAAGACATAAAAAATCTTTATGGATTAGTTTTTTCTTATCTGTGAGGGATTCTTTAAAAAGTTTGAAATGAATAAGAAAAAAAGTAACAACTTATTGAAGCAGAAAAGAAAAAATGTACAAATTACATCCCACTTATCATAAGCCATGGGGTCCAGAAGGAAATGGCAAAGTCTGTTTCTATCACTTAAAGAAAACACCTGTCATCCTCAGATCCCCTTTATCCATATGGGATATATTCCAAGATCCTCAGGGAATCTCTCCAAAGTGAAGATAGCACTAAATTTCGTATTTATTTAGTTTATATATGCTATGACAAAGTTTAGTTTATAGACTAAGCAAAGTAAAAAATTAACAATTCAACATAGTTCTTAGAAACTGCACCACACACCTTCTTTTCCTAATCCAGCTGATAATTGTCATCTTTTGAGATAAACGAGGCCTTTTGTGCTTCTTCTGTGTAATATGGGACTAGACAGTGTCACCATTCCTGTACACAAAATCACTAGTAAGTAATATAAACTCTTCTTGATAGAAAGCCTTATAGCACCAGGAGGTAGAATCTAATAACCAAGAAAGCTAATAAATGGCTAACTGCAAGGTCATATATACAAAGTGGATGACTAGACACATAATGAATCACCTCCCAAGAGAGACCGACCAGGGCTGTATGAGAATTCATGATGATAGTCGAAATAGTGTGAATTTCAAAATGAGTGTGGAATTTTCTAACTGATTCATTTGAACATTAGTTGAGTAGGAGAAATTAAACCTACAGAAAGCAAAACTGTAGATAAGATGATAGAGGAATGGTGTATTTTATTGAGGAATTAATATATTTCTACATATATATATATATAATTATGTATATTTATATATCACAATAAAGAAAGACACATATTAGGTCTCCGTAATAGAAAAGAAACATATAAAATATGCATGGATATTTTTTTAATATTTTTCAAAGCCTATTTTATCATGAAACTCAAGTCATCGTTGTGTTAGAGACCAATGCTGTGCACCACAACTTATGGGCTTTGTGGTTATTTAGCATTTTTATCCAACAAAATGGAAATGGTCACAGTTACATTAGTTAATCAGAAGATAAATTTTAATTTTTTTCAAAGAAGTATATTGAACACCAAAGTTTCATGCTACAGTCATGTAAATTATATTCTGTAATGATCCAAAACGTCTATTTCATATAACTGTCAGATGTCTTTTTGTATACTCATTAACCATATTGTTGGCACACTAGTTTCAGGCAGTAGAACATTAGAAACAAACTTTGGCAACAATACCGAGCATCCTTCATAAAATACGGGGATGAGTCCAAATGCCATGTTATATAAAATTGGCCTAGAAATTCACACTTTGGTAAGCTAATAAAGTTAGTATCCAGAGGCTCTCATTTCTATCACAGGAACTCTGTGTGTATTCAGCATTTATTTGGATTACATTCATGGCTGCTATTCTACCATGGTCTTAACAAGAGAAGGAATACAACATCAAAATTCCAATCCATCTAGCCACAAATGAAGAAAAGATGATAGCTTAACCAAAGCAAAAGGCTGCATGCATAATAGTGACTATCA